TCGCCTGCGCACGCAGCCCCTTTTTCGGCGCCGTAAAGCAGATCGGCCGGAGCCACCGCCGCAGTTCCGGGTGAGCCCCCGCGGGCTGGTGGCCCCGTTTTGTGTCGCGTGTCGTCCTCTCCCCGACCCTTCCTGCTGGTCTGTGAGTGCCGAGTCAGCGCCTCTGCTTCCGCGGGCCCCGGTCTCTGCGCTTCGGCTCCCCCCTGGGGGTTATGAGCAGGGTGGGCTTCTCCCCGGCCTGGAGGGCTGGGGCGGCGGTCTTGGGGTTCCGGGGTGTCAGGGTCCCGGCCCTGCAGCAGCTCAGCCCACCTTCCCCGCTGCAGCTGGTGAGGTGAGGGGGTCTCGTCGCTCCCGCTCCCATCGTCCACCCCTCGTCCTGCTGGTCCGCCTCGCGGACCCTTCCCAGACGCCCCTCTCCAGCCGTACACGGCGGGAGCCGGACCCCTTTCCCCACGGGCCTCACCCCGAGACGGGCGAGGATGGGGCTAGGTGACCCCTTTTCCCTCCCCTCCACCGTCGGTTGTGTCTTTGTGCCCTGCCAGGTAAGGACTACAGCACCCTCTCCTGGCTTCCCAAGTCAGGTGACCGTGCACCTCTCTGTAGTTTCGAAGAGTTTGGGCATGGAAGCCCCAACATCTCTGGGCTCCTTATTCAGAACTCATCCAGGTCATGGCAGGCTCCCCGGGTGACAGATCCACGCTGCCCATAGGGCGGGGTTGGGCCACTCCCCTGTGCCTCCTGGCTTGGCCCTTGGATCTCCTGTTCTCCAAAGCCCCAGCCCTTCAGGCCCCGATACACACACGTTCTCTCTTCGCCCAGTTATTCTGTCTTCCGTTAGGGTGGGCGAGTGCACAGTGCCGGAGAGAAGACGTCCTCCCAGGGTCCCCTCGAGGTCCCCCCCTCCGGTCTGTCCTCCCCAGCGCCCCTGACACCAGGTGTGCTGGTCTCCATACAGGGTGGCGGAGGTATGGAGGCGCGCTTCACGCGCGGGAAGTCGGCGCTGCTGGAGCGCGCGCTGGTGCGGCCGCGCACCGAGGTGAGCCTGAGCGCCTTCGCGCTGCTCTTCTCCGAGCTGGTGCAGCACTGTCAGAGCCGCGTCTTCTCGGTGGCCGAGCTGCAGGCCCGGCTGGCCGCGCTGGGCCGCCAGGTGGGCGCGCGTGTGCTGGATGCGCTGGTGGCGCGGGAGAAGGGCGCTCGGCGCGAGACCAAGGTGCTGGGCGCGCTGCTGTTCGTCAAGGGCGCCGTGTGGAAGGCGCTCTTCGGCAAAGAAGCCGACAAGCTGGAGCAGGCCAACGATGACGCCCGCACCTTCTACATAATTGAGCGGGAGCCGCTCATCAACACCTACATCTCCGTGCCCAAGGAGAACAGCACGCTCAACTGCGCCAGCTTCACAGCGGGCATCGTGGAGGCCGTGCTTACTCACAGCGGCTTTCCCGCCAAGGTCACGGCGCACTGGCACAAGGGGACCACGCTCATGATCAAGTTCGAAGAGGCTGTCATCGCCAGGGACCGGGCCCTGGAGGGCCGCTGACCCCGAGCGAGATAAAGGATGTGGAGGCCCCTTCCCACGCGTGTCTCCTGTCTTGTGTGGGGGCCTCGGACGTCCACTCAACACCTCGACCAGGTCCCAAGCTGGCGAGGGAGGCCAGAGCCCAAGGGTATTTATAATAGATGGGGAGCGGGGAGGGTCTGGGGTGGGTAGTGGGGAGACAGACAAGGGAGAAGGGGCCGGTGGAGATGCCGGACTTTCAGGACTCGGCTGCGGTGGTTTGCAGGCCGGCTGGAGAGTGGGCCGGTGGGGGGGAAGGTGTCAGGCTCAGATAGACCAGGGGCTTTCAGGAAGCAGAGAGTAAAAGTTTGTGTGATGCAGTCCAGGTGCTCGTCTGATGGTGGGAAGGGAGCCACAGAGAACAGTAGTGGAACGGGTGTGGCCGTGTTCCTGGGAAACAGAGTGGTTGTCCCGCTGCCTCTTAGGACTTCTCTGCTCCCAGACTGGGGTCCTTGGACCAGCACTGTCAGCAGTGCCTGGGAAACTTGTCGGTGCAGAAGCTCAGGCTCCGCCCAGACCTCCTGCACCAGCCTGCACTGTGGCACAGTTCCCAGGAGTTCCTGTGTGCCTTAGCGTGAGAAGCAGTACTTTAGGGGGTCGGGACCGCCGGGAGGGCTCCTACGTCACAGACAGCTGGGGCCTACCCCCAAGTCCCAGATTCTGTGGATTTGGGCTGTGCCTGAGGATTAGGATCTGTGACGCATTGCCGGGAGCTGCTGGTTGCTCCAGGAACCACGCTCTGGAGACCTGCCGGTCATGGGATGGGAGTCCAGAGTTCCCTGGGCATTCAAAATGCTTTTAAGTTGTAAAACACACAGTGGATACCTGAACACATTTTCCGTTTTGGAAAGTTACAAGATCTCATGTCAGGCATGACCACCACCTATTCCCAGGAAACCTCTCCTGATTTTTAGGGGAAATTAGGTCATTTCTTTCTTTCTTTCTCGTACCAGAGATTGAACTCGGGACCTTGTGCTTGTGAGGTGGGCGCCGTGCCACTGAGCTTCATCCCTGGCCCTCTTCATTTCTTTCCCTCTCTCTCCGGGATCCACATAAGTCTGTTCTTGAGAAGGAACTTTTGGAAACTTTAGCTGGGTCCCTTCAGTGTAAGAGAAGGGTTTAAAGTCAGGGTGGGTGGAGATTTTCCATGTGATGTTGGGGTTGCTCTGGGGCCGGGTCAGGGGTGCTGCCGCCATCCCAGCCAGAGGTGATCGTTGGGGTGGGTGCCGGCATGTTGGTGAGGAGGAAGCACGGGCAGCATAAATGGAACTCGTAGCACAGAGTCAGGCATGGAGCAGTGTGGGTTGTGGGAGGCAGGGCACCTGGGGGCTTGGGAGAGGCTTGGCAGGATGGCAGCTCGGGTCTGGAGTCAAGGGGCCGAGTTGAGGAAGCTGCAGTGTGTGCAGGTGTGGCGGTCAGTCTGGAGAGAAGCCGGAGGCCTGGAGGAGGGGTTGGAGCCGGTGGGAACAGAAGGGTGTGGGTAAGGTGCCTGGGAAGCTGTGTCGTGGAGGGAAACGTAGGAGTCTGGACTTGGCAGCCCCCGGCAGGATGTGGGGATGCTGGCCAGAATGGCTTCCAGGGCCTGGTGCAGGGGAGCTGGGCGGAAGGCAGGAAGCTGCAGTGACATCCAGCTCTGCCGGGCCAGGGAGGGGAGGGGCTCACGGGACCGCGTACAAGCTGGAAGCGCAGGGCCAGGTCTGTGCCCTCTAGCTGTGGATGAGCAGGGCACCTCAGAGAAGGGAGAGGGTCTGGATAAGCTACAGGGTTGGGCTGGTCCTCGTTTGGGGCAAGAGGCTAAGAGCCTGCGATCGGATGGCTTACAGTTGCAGCGTCGCTGACTTCGGCTACTTTGGGCTGCGAGGTCTCCTTGGAGACCCCAGGCCGGCAGGGGAGGGAAGTAGAAGACGAGCCCAGAGCCCAGCACAGGCCACGCTGAGCCAGGCAGCTGCACCACCCTTCCGTGGGCCGTGAAGCAGGCTCCACCCATCCATTGCCACAGGTTGACTTTGTCGAATGTTTACGGGGTACCCGCTATGAGCCAGAATTTGGAGACTCAGCTGGGAAGAAGGAAAAGGTGCCTCCCCCGCTTTTAGTCTGAAGCGGGAGGGCAGGCACAGACGGGCCAGAGATGTGTCCTGTTCAAGGGGAAATCTGACCAGACACGGCAGTACACGCCTGTAATCCCAGGAAGAAAAAGGGACAGGAGGAGTGGGGCCATAGTACTGTTGTTAAAATTTTATTCTTTGGTGCTAGGGCTTGAACCCAGGGCCTTGTGCATGCGCGGCAGCCCCTGAGCTCTATTCCCAAATGGGGTGCTGTTTTAAAGGGGGGCAGTTAACTCGGGACAGGCCCTACCCCCCAAGAGCAAAGACCAACGCATTGAGCCGGATTGGGCAGGGGTCGGGGAAGGGTGAGGAGCCTGCACACGGGAACCCTGTAGGACTTCGGTTTCTTCCGAGCTGGAAGGAAACTTGGGGCACTGAAGAGGGAGACAGCTGCCCATGGTGGTGCACTTTTGTGGTTTGAGTGCATGTGGAGGCCGAGGCAGGAGGGTTGCTTGAGCCCAGGAGTGCAAGGCCAGCCTAGGCCACGTAGCAAGCGTCCATCTCACATCCAACAAACGAAAATAGACGAGCGGAGGTGATGGGAAGGGGTGAGGAGCTGGTTGTGAAGATGGATGGGACTTGGAGGTGTTGAGGGAAAGAGCGAGTGAGCCCTGAACCTCTCCGGGCCCAGCGGGCCCAGCGGCACCTGGCTGAGCGGCCGGCTGGCGTGGTCCGGTCTGCAGACAGCTTCCTCTGTGTGTGAACTGAGGCCCCTTCCTCTGCCGTTCCGGACTGCGGGACTCTGTCTGCTCTGGGGACCTGCAGTGCCCCCCACAGTATTCCTGGGGCTCATTAGACCCCAGGGTCTCCGTCCCCAGGGCCCCTAGTACATTCTAGTAAGAGGAGGAAACTCAGGTGGAGAAGGCGTGGACTCCACTTCAGTTGCTCTGGATTCTCACAGTTGGTCTTGGAGGGGGTGGGGTGTGGGGGGGAAGTGGTCTCAGGCCAGTGGGTTCCCACCTTCCACCCCGCTGCGACCTCATTGTCCCGTGTCGCTGGTGCAGGTGGCCAGGAGGACTTGCTGCCCAAGCTGCGGTGGGGTGTATCCTGTCGTGCTGAGGAGTGGGGTGGCAGCGGAGGGGACACCGGACGAGGTGGGGTCCTAGGTGAGAGGTCTGTGTTCTCCACAGCTCCCTGGATGGCTGGGCCGGCAGTCTACACCCCAGTGGGCAACGAGCTTGCCAGCGGGGACGGTCGTGAGCCTTCGAAGGCAGGTAGGGGGTGATGGCCAGCTGGGCTGAAGGAGCAAGGGACGGGGGCGGGAAGGGTCAGTGTCTCAGTTCGGGTGGGAGCAAAAGGTCGTGGGGACCTTTGAGCCACAAAGTGGCGTCCAGGCTGAGGTTGGGGGTCCTCGGGGCCTGGCTCTGGGTCTGGCTGTTTCTAGGATCAAGAGGGAGGGAGGTGGGAGGGATCAGAGTGAGGCGGCGGCACTGTCAGGGGCTGTGTGCTGAACCAGAGCCCAAGCCAGAGACCCGTGAATCATCTGTGGCGTCCGACGGGGTGGGTGACCCGCACGTGGCCAGCTGCTCGCACACCCAGGCGTCCAGCCAGCTGCGGCAGAAGGCGTCATTCCACTTCCCCGAGCCCTGCATCATCACGCAGTCCTCTCCCTGGGCGTTGTTGGGCTCCCCTGACTGCCAGTTGCTGCGGGAAAGGCTCTGAGTCAGGTGGGGGGGCGGCTGCTCTGGGGCTGGGCCTCATCCATAGTCCCTGTCCTCACAGGTTGCACCTCCCTGGGTCTGGACGAGGCCCCTCCGCGGTTCCACACCCCCTTCTCCCAGATTCTCCCTCCCCGAGCCCTGCCTGTTACTTCCCTGTGGGCTGGAGAGGCCCCTCTCTGGGCCCCGACTCCAGGACTTCTTCACCAGTAGCCTCGAGTCCTTCACCGAGCCTCAGGGGAGCGCCTCTCCCCCCAGTCTGCCCGGGACCCCGACTCACCTGTAGTCCACAGGGCTCCCATCCATCCAGATAAACTCCCCCTCTACGTCCAGGTCCCGCAGGCCAATCCAGGAGCCCTCCTTGTTGGCATGTTTGGTCAGGAAGTCCTAGGGGGCAGGACAGGACTGGAGGCCCGGCGTGGGGCTGGGTCCCTCCCGTCCACTTACAGGGGTGTCCTCCTGACCCCCACCGACCACAGCTTCTGCAGAGCCCAGGCTACCTGCTCCTCCTGGCTGTGGATGCTGACCAGTCGGCCTTCCAGGTCATCGCAGGTGAACCGGGCCTGGACCCACTGCTTGGCGCCTTCGCCAAAGTAGTAGCACTTCTGCTGGAAGTTGACCCACTGCTCGGGGCAAGTGCTGCAGTCGGAGCCTGGGGTTGCACATGGAGGAGAGGCGTGGGGTGAGGGGCACAGCAGGTGTCAGAGTCTGTCCCGGACTCACTGGGTCTGGGCTAATAGCAGACCCACCCGGAGCCTGACGGGCGATGCGCCTGGCCAGCTTCCCTGGGGCTGTCATGCTGCCCATGGTGTAGGACCAGCTCCCTAGTGGGGCCGCCTCAGCCACCGGTGCCATGGCCAGACGTCTCAGGGTTAAGGTCAGCGCCATGGCCAGGGACAGCTCAGCCGCAAGCACAGCTTTGCCAGCAGCCCCTCCCCACGAGCACCTCCAGGGTCAGCAGCACCTCAGCCACCATGGTCACCAGAAGCACCTCAAACACCATCACTGTCAAACAGCCACCATCCCCACAGACACCCGGATCACCATCGTCACCACCAACACCTCACTCACTGTTGCCAGAAGCACCTTAACCACCCTCGCCACAAACATTTCGACTACCGTGATTCTGACAAACACCTCACCCGCCATTGCCGCAGACACTAACCACCATCATCGGCCACCATCACTACAAACTCAGCAACCACGGCTGTCACAAACACGTCAACCACCAGCACCATGGCCGCGGATTCCTCCAAGGTTAGCCAAAGACCAACACCATCGCCATCACTACCTCAGGGGTAGCAGCCTCTCCACTGCCACCAACATCACCACAGACACCTCACAGCCAGAAGCACCTCGCCTGTCACCACTAGGAAGACGTAACGGTCAGAAACTCCTCAACTTGACACTGACATTCTCAACACCTCGACCCCCTACACCGTCACCGCGGACACCTCCGAGGTCAGCGTCACTCATGCGAACACAGGCACCAACCGCTGCCCGTCCTGGGCTTGCCAACCACACCAGCCATGCCCACACCGTGGCCAGCTCACCCGCTGTCCCCGGCCACTGTTGCTGCTAGCAAACCACCCCCCTCAGTGCTCCAGCCCCTTTTGGGAAGTGGTGGTGGTTTCCTCTTTTCAGAGGCACCGACCCTGAGAGCCCACGGGAAAGGAAAAGGAGGCTTCGGGGAGGGGTCCCAAAGTCCTCCACCCGGGGCCAGCTTGGTCTCTCTCCCCTTTCCCCACCTGGGGGAAACTCAGACACCGTAACTGTCACCAAGACCCCAAGGTGGGAGGTGAAATCTGCCGTTACTGGATGGATTCTCTTTTGCTTTAAAATACTTCCTTTTTCTGAGGAGCTGGGATGGCAGTTGGTCTCCGGCATGGTACGCAGTGCTCTGTCCCTGGGCACTACCAGGACTAAAATTGGCTTGGGTTTTTTTTAATGGGGCTTGGGTATCCACGGCAGCGTGAATCAGATGTACCTCTGACCCACGCCATAGTAATCAAAGCTCAGCCCCGTGGAGATGCAGGATTAAAACAGAGAGAGAGCACCTCTGGATCTCTGAAGGGAGCTTCGAGGGCTGGATGTGGTGGCAGGCACCTGTAGAACCGGCTACTCTGGAGGCTGAGGCAGGAGGACCGCTTGAGCCCGGGAGTTTGTAAAGTTTGAGGCCAGGCGGAGCAACACGGAGACAGTGTCTTAGTTAATAGTCATGATGATGATGTGCTGGTGGTGACCGTTTTTTGTGACGTTTATCCCGAGGCAGACCCAGAGCTGGGCTCACACCTCAGGCCCTGGGTCCAGATTTGGGAAGGAGCAGGGATGGGGACGTGTGTCGGGGTGAGCGTGACCCAGCGTCCCAGTGGGGTTTCCTGCTGGTATTCCCAAAGCTATGCCGTGTCTCTGGGGACCGGACTCTCCCACCAAGCAAGGCTTCCTCTTCTACTCAGTTGTGGCAGCCGGGGCTTCCCAGGGGTAGAAGACCAAAACCCAAGAGCAGGTCAAGGCTGGGCTGCCGGTGGGGTGGATGGCAGGGCTGTGAAAGCCTGGTCTCCACCGCACGTCGAGGGCACAGCCTTTGCTCTCTTGCAGCCTGCTGGCTTCCGGGGGCCAATGTCCCCGCCGCCCCTGCCACCCAGGGAAGGATGCGGCCAGCCCCGCGGCCTTGTCAGTCACTGCACACATCCCCTCCTCGGCCCCTGGGGGACCCTGCTGGCGGCCACCCCCAGGCACACTCACCCCTGGATGCCTGAATCTCCATCCACAGCTTCGCCACCTCTTCCTTCAGTCTTCCCAGCGAATCCAAGGCCGAGCGCCTCTGGTTCAAATCTTAAGGGACCAGGCGTGGGGGGTTAGCACTGTGCGACCCACTGTCCCGGCCCCTGCTCCCCACGACCCTCCCAGGCTCACTTTGCGACTTAATGCTGCCCATATCCTCCTGAAGTCTGTCCAGGTTCCAGGAGAGCTCGGAGTCTGTTGGGTGTGAGAGGGAGGGCTGGGCTCAGGGGGGACCCGCGTGGGGCGTGGGCCAGAGGTCGCCCCAGCCCCGAGGTCCCACCAAGCTCTCACCCTGGGATTTCATCTGCTGCTGCTGGGCCCGGAGCTCTTGCACGGTCTGTGACATCAGTGCCGCTGGTGACAGGAGGGACGGTGTCAGCGGGGTCCCCCCCCCCGGGTCTCAAGTGCTGCCCGCTCGCTTTGCAGTTCCCAGGGGTGGGGGGGCCTCAGCTGGCCTCGTGCAGCCTGGCCTGTGCTCACCCCGGGCCCGTCTCCCTCCGGGCCGGCCGCAGCGGCCACTCACCCTGGGTCTTCTGGGCCATCTGCTCACTGTGGTGCCTCTGCAGTTCCTTGGAGAATCGAGACACTGGAGCAGCGGAGAAAAGAGGTGTCCCGGGAGCCACCGTGGCAGGACCTTGAGCTGCACTGCACCCCAGGGGCAGCACCTCCTCCACGTAGAAGCATCGTGGTGGCTTTTTGTTTTTCATATTTTTGGGGGGTAGGGGGATGGTGGGAGATGGCAACATTCCGGAAGGCACAATAATACAGTGTGCTTTCTCTCCTCACCCAGAAGTCGGTATAACATCCCAACATAAAGTCCTACAAGTCATTGTTTCCGCAGCTTTGCCCATTAGTTCACGGCACCAAAGTCGCACCCATTTTACAGGGGCGGAAACTGGGGCACAAGCGGGTTCCAGCTGCGAAGTTCACATCGTTCTAGGGACTTCAAGCCTCCTGGCGTCTCTCTCTCTCCCCTTGGGGAAGGGAGCACCCTAGGCCTACAGAGACCTTCACTTCCACCCCCGCCCCAACCCAGGGCCCCCCATTACCGTTCTGGGCGGCAGTGACTTCCAGCCGTTTAAAACTCTTCAGGGTGTCCCAGTCTGGACAGCGGGGGACAGGGGAAGGGGCGATGGGGCGGGCGTCCCGGCCGCTCACACCCCACCCTGCAGCCCGGGAGGAAGGTTTTGGGGTGACCCGGCGCGGGGGACGGGGTGGCGGGGACAAGCTGGGGAAATGGGCTCCCAGGAGCTGAGTCGGGGCCCCGGGGCTGCGGGTCCTCACGCCACAGAAGAAGCAGGGTCAGCAGCCCCGCCCAGAGCGCCGCGGTCAGCAGCCCCAGCAGCGCGAGCTGCAGCCCCCGCCGGCAGCGCCTCTTCCTGGGAAGATCGAAGAACTCTCCCGGTTCTGGCGGGGAAGGAGGAGGGCGTAGGGGAGGCTGTCCGGGTTGGGGGGACCCCGGCCCTCTGCCCGCCCCGTCCCGTCCGGGTCCCTCCCAGAGCCGGAGCAGTGTCCTCCGTCGCCGTCCCTAGGTCTGGCTCTCAGGCTGACCTGGCCCCTCCGGGATCATCGTGCGGGGCCCCGCGCGCTCCGAGCCGCTGTCCCGCGCGGCCTCCGACGCCATCGGGCTGCCAGTGCCAGCCGGGGGTGCATTTTGTGCAGAGGGAGTTGTCGGGAAGGAGGGGCCCTCTGCGTCCCTCTCCTGCCGGGCTCTGGGCCAGGAGCTCGGTAGCTCGGGGTTCAACTCCCTACCCAACCCTTGGGTTTTTCTTTAAAAAAAAAATCACCCTCCTGGCCCGAGAGGGGCTGGGGAGCACCCCCTTATCTCCCGAGTCCCCACAAAAGAGCCCTCTCACCTGAGTATTGATTCTCGTCCATGGCAGTCCTGCTTGGATTCTCCCGGTGACGGGGTGCTCTCTACCTGTCCAGGCTGTTCTTTCAGTCACCTGTTGTGGTTTCGGCGGGGATCTAGGTTTCAGCAAAGTTTAGGAGGAGACATGGGGCCCTTGTTGTCAGCCTCCGTTACTTGGGGGTATGCGCTGACTTTGATTCAGTTCCTCAGCCAAAGTCAGTCTTGTGGCGAGCGGGAGACACGGCTGGCAGGGTCTCACCAGCCCGAGACCAAGGCCACACGGCCCTGGCCGTGCTCCGTGAACGGTGAAGTCGCACCTGGGAGAGCCTGGGAGGGGTTTCATCTCCGTGCGGCTTCTTCCGCCGCAGAATGCGGTATTAATAATTCCTGTCCGGTGCTCGTGGGAACATGGACAACACCCAGAATGCCGCAGCTCTGACTAAATCCGCTGCAGCCTCGGCCAGCTTTTCTTTTATTCTTTATGGTTTTTCCGTTAGTGTTTGTAGTGTGGGGAATGGGTGCATATCGCATCTTAATCTTTTTTACATCTCCCCCGCCCCCCGATCTCTTCCCATCCCCGGGTCTTTTTCAAAAAATCTCCGAAAACTTCTACCTCTTATTTTGCTCTTTAAACACTTTGTGCCTTGGGTTTCTCATATAAGAGAAATCATGCAGTTTTTAAGCCCATGTGTCTGACTTATTCCAGCAAACATTATGGTCTCAAGCTACATCCATGTTCTTACAAATGACTCATGCATCCTTTTTCGTGGCAGTATAGTACTCCACTGTGTAAACACCACCTTTTCTTCATCCATCTGTTGATGGGCATATAGGCCACTTGTAAAATTTAGCTGTTATGAATTTGTATATAGCAGCTCAACCTTGAACCTCATTCTCTGCTCTGAAAAATGGGAGAGAAAATAGCATCCCACCCATGAGGCTGTGCCAGGACTGGATGGTTTACTAATGCAGGTGGGGCTTTCTTTGTGCAGGGGGCCTTCAGATCCTAAATGTTTATCAAGCATCCAGTTCTGCTAAAAATGCAGACTGTTGCCTGGCCTCCGCGTCCTTCTCCTCCAACACACTCAGAGTTCTTCAACTTTAGAGCAAGCACTGTGTCAAAGGAGGCCAAACTGGGGCTCAGTGGCTGCCCCCGCCTTGCTGTGTGACTGTGGACAAGCGGCTCGCCCTCTCTGAGCCTGGGGTGGTGGGAGTGTGAGCCAGCCAGGATCTGATGAGCGGTAGCTCAGTCCCATTCTGCCAGCATGGGAGGAGCACGGGGCTGTCACCATGCCGGAACCCAAGGTGGGTACGTGTGGGTGGGATCCCAGCTCCTCCCTGGATGACTGCCTCAGTTTACTCACTTGTAAATGGAGCAAACAGGAGTGCTGACCCTGCTGGCATGGCAAACACATAGTAGGTGCTCAATAAACCTGGGGACCCAGGGAGCATCCTAACTGCCCCGCCTTGAAGGTAAATCAGTCAACCGCCTCCCATAGCAAGGGAAGTGGGGCCTCGAACCTGGGACCTTGGACCTGGAAGCCTGTTCCACGGGCCGCCTGGAGCCACGTCTGCTGGCGGGATCCTGACATCTGCCCAAGTCTCTGTGCTGAGAGGTCCTGTCGTGGCCTGCCACCTTCCGTGGCTCCCCAGTGCTCTGTACAGTCAGTCAGCCCCCAGAGCACCCACGCCTCACGCCCCTGCCCAGCTGTGGCTTTCACTTTTATCACGACGGCTACTCTGTCCCGCACAGAGCAGGTGCAGTCACACAGGGCCGTGCAGTCACACAGGACCGTGCAGTCACGCAGGGCTGTGCAGTCACACAAGGCCGTGCACTCACCTGAGCTGGAGCTGTCTCGACCTGCCGGTGGGCCAGACACAGAGGTCAGCGGGCCCAAGCAGTGAGAGGTTTCAGCAGCGGGAGATGCGCTTTCTTCTGAAAGCTGGTGGCTTCTGGCTCCACCGACCTGATTATGGCCCCCTCACTGCCCCCCCAACACCGCAGTCCCATGGCCTTTCCTGGCGCGTGCTCCCCACCACCGGGGAAAGTCCGGGCTATTCTTACCTCAGTTCTCAGGTAGGCCGGCTCACTGAGACCCAGCGATGCTGATCGCGTTCCTAAAATGCCCCAGGAAGTGAGGGGGCTGAGTCGAGATTAGAATCAGGCAAATATGTACTAGGTCCCTGAGCTACTGTGGAAAAGAAGGAGGCAAGGACCGAGGGAGAAACTGGCCTGCGTTCGGGCCAGATAGGACAGGTGTGTGTGGCCGGGAACGATCAGGCTCCTGTGTGGGCTGACAAATCTGATTTTCACAACCATCCTAGGAGTCGGACGCCCCCTTAGTGGTGTCGCCTATGAGTGAAAGATTCAAAGCCCGAAGAGGTAAATTACCTTGCCCGAGGTCACACGGCTCGTGGACACCAGAGCTGGGATTTTGCCAGGATGCTACCCAGCCTCCCATTGGCAACCTGCTCTTCTCCCGTGAAAGGGGCCCCCACCCCCTAAGCCCCTCCTCACTCCCAGGGGAGTGGGACTGTCCCTTCCCACGACCCCTCCTGTGCCTTTCGTGCTGGAAGACGGCCTCCTGCGTCTCCACAATCCACCTCTCAAGCCAGACTCGGCTGGGCGGGACACCCATCTGGCCGGACTGTCTCTTGGATGGTGCCCCCCAGAACAGCAGAGAGCATGTCGTTCACCCGTCACCCCGGCAGCAGGCCGGCAACTCTGGTGGCCTGAGGGCTCCGCTGCTCTTGAGGGAGTCAGGTGATGATGGCCAGGTACGGGGACGGCCAGGAGGAGCAAGGCCAGGGGAGCCGTGGCTGGAGCTGCTGGCTGTGCTGGGCACTGTGGGGCTTTTGTGGGAGCCAGGAGGGTGCAGATCCTTGGGGCTGGGGGCCGTGGTGGGCACCAGGACAGGCCGGGGGATGGACAGCAGGCTGTCCAGGGACGAGACCTGCAGGAGGAGCGTTAAGGAGCAGCCGCCTGGCCCCAAGGGAGCTGAGGGCTGGAGGCCCAGGTGGGCTTGGAGAGGGACAGGCTTTGGTGGGGCCGGGTGCAGGGCCTGCTGTGGTTGGGGCCTCTCCTGGCTGCTCTCCCGGTGTGCAGGAGGGAGAGGAGACTTGGGGACAAGTTCCCGTCGGGAGGTGTTCAGGGCACAGGCTGGAGAGCCTGGTCCTGGGTGGGCTGGGAGGGAGTTTGGTCTTTTCGTTTCTTTTCCCTTCCCCTTTCCCCCTCTTTTTTAAAAAATAGTACTAGGGACTGAACCCAGGGCCTTTGTGCTGAGCTATTTCCTGCCCTTTTAAAAAATATTTATTTATTTATTTTTAATTTTGAGACAGGGTCTCACTAAGTCACTAAGTTGCCCAAGCTGGGCTTGACCTTGAAACCCTCCCGCCTCGGCCTCCGGGGGCACAGGTGTGCCCCACCATGCCTGGCAGAGTCCAGTGCTTTTGAGCTTCTCAGGGTGCTGCAGGATCAGGTATCCCAGCCCCAGGGCGTCCTTCCCAGGCTGGACCTCTGGGTCCCTGCCTGGACGTCACTTGGACTGGAGGACACTGGGCCCCCCCCACCCCGGGACTGAGTCACATGACTGCCCCACCGCTTCCCCCTGCTCCCTGCCTGCTGGGGGAACAGGAAGCTGTGCGGAAGTGGGCCCCAGCCCGAGGGGAGGGCGGTCGTTCTTTCAGGTTCGGGGTTGCCCAGTTGGGTGGGGCCCTGCTCACCGCCTCCTGGGAAGGAGCCAGCTGGGGCTCCCGTCTCCAGGTCCCCCAACAGTTCCCAGCTGGAATCCCCCAGCTGATCTCAGCCTTGACATCAGCAAAACAGACGGGTCCCGCTCAGCACCCGGGACAGTTCTCTGCAAAGGGACCAAGGGGCTTGGGGACCCTGACCCAGCCTCGTCTGACACAGCCTGGGCTCAGCCCCCCGACTCTATCCCGTCCCACCTCTCCTGGTATCTCCAAGGGGAAGAGAGTGAACATGGTAGGTTAGGTGGCGAAGGGCGGGAGGGCTTCCAGGAGGAAGCCTTGTTTGTTTGAGACAGGGTCTTACTGTGTAGCTCAGGCTGGCCTTGAACTCATGGCGATCCTCCTGCCTCAGCCTCCTGAGTGCTGGGATGACAAGCATGCGCCACCACGTCCAGCTGTTTGGTTTTTATATTGAGGAGTTAGCGGAGGGTCCTGGCACTAGCAACTTCCTCAGATCCCCTCATCTTCTTTTTATTTTGAGTCAGGGTTGTGAGCTCAATGAGTTGCCCTGGCCGGGCTTGAACTGTGATCCCCGCACCTCAGCCTCCCCGAGTGTGGCGCTTACAGGTGCGGAGCGCAGTGCCCCGGTGGGAGGAGGCTCTTCTAAAACTGTGTTGCTCACTTTCCACACTGCCGGCCTTGGGGGTGATGGGTCTGCGCCTGTGACGAGGGCCGCTCTGTGCATTCTGCAGGACACCCGGCCCCATTCTTGGCCTCTTATCAATTAGATTTCAGGGGGCAGAGGGTCAGCACCCCTACTCCTACCCTGCTGAAGACCACTGCTGTTTTACAGCCTGAGTCGTGGTCATGGGTACGGAGAGGAGGGTGCTTTTTAGTTGGTTTATTTGTTGTTTTGAAACAGGATCTCGCTATGTAGCCCAGGCTGGCCTTGAGCTCTCAGTGATCCTCCTGCCTCAGCCTCTTGAGTGCTGGGATCACAGGTGTGCGCCACCACGCCAGGCTTTTTCAGATTTTGTTTACATTGTGGTAAAATGCGCACAGCATACAATTCATCATCGCTATTCTATTTAACTGTACAACTTTCACAGCGCTGCCCAGCCATCCCCAGCAGCCTTCTCCAGAACGCCGTGGTCTCCCCAGGTGGAGATTCTGTTCCCCCCTCTCACCCCAGCCCCTCCAGCTGTCACTTCCTGTCTCTGTGGCTCTCATGGCTGCAGGGCCACCCACAAGCAGAATCCTGCTGCCCGTGTCCTTTTGGTCTTGTTCCTCTGATCACGCATCAGGTCCTAAAGGTCCACCTGTGCGGTTGCGTGAAGTTGAAGTTTTGCGCCCATACATGTGCAGGGTTGTGGGGCGGTTTCAGGCGGTGGGGCAGGGCTGGGGTGCCAGGGCGAAGAGGTGCAGGCCCGGGAGGGGGTGACTGGGTGAGGGAGAAGCAGACCGCGACGCCCGCTCAGCCTAAGCGTGTCCCCCCGCCGTGGGTCCCCCTGACACGGGACCCTCTCCTGCCAGCCAGGGGAATCTGTGCCAAAAGCCAGGGGCCCCGGGGACTCCCTCAGCCTTGGGGCTGTGCCTCAAGCATTCCCCGAGGCCCTCATGCCTTGGTTTCCCCCGGGGAGGAAGGCACGGGTGCGGGTCCTGCCCCCACCCTGTGCAGCCCCGGAAGCCTCAGCCCCCAGGGGCCCCAGTGCTGTGGGGAAGTGAATTTCTGAAGAAGCGGGGTGGGCCCAGAGGAGGGCAGCTGTGATTCAGCAGCGCGAGGATGGTGGAGTGTGGATCCCCCGACACACAGTCGCACACACGCAGACTCACAGGCATTGCACTACCAAGCCGCAGACGCACACACAACACACGAGCATCACAACAAATACACGGACACCCACAG